ACTGTGAGAGACAAGAGAGTGACAGTCACTGTGTTCTTACGCCAGTCTTGTCTCAGGAACACAGACGTGCTCAGCGAGTTCATGACCAGTCCAGCCACACAGACGAACACACCGAGAATCACAGACACATTCATGGTCGCCACGCTCGAGCAGAATGAACAACCAGTAGCAAGGCGAAACAGAGCTGGACAAAACTGGACTGAAAAGTTCAATAAATTGCTTTACTGCTCCGTTCAATTGGCTGTCCTCCGTGTTTTGATCAAGTTCAAGTGTAATCAATTTCCCGTTATTGTTTAAAAAAAGAAACAACACTTTTCTTTACTGCATGTCCATTAAGGGGGAGGGGGGGGGGGCTACACCCCCAATGACCCGATTCGGCTAAAAATTATGGAATATGAGTTGTAGGAATGTTTAGCTTCCCCATTCCCTCCTACAATTATTTCGTCGCATAAGAACCCACACAATCCGTTTTTCCCCCCATACCGGGCACGTTTGTCACCACTATTTCCTCATAAAGTCAATATTTTATTTTTCTTTATCGGCCGTTTTCTCAAAACGCGACTTTTCTCTATACTTTTTTAAATAACTCCACCATTTTTCATCCAATCGTCATGCAATCTTCACAGAATGAAGGGAAGATGTAATACTAAAAATTTGACTGTTAACCTTTTGATATATGGAATAGATTTTTGTTGGTGGTTTCTGGAGTGTGGATTTTCAGGGATTTTTTGCAAATTTGAATGCTACCTCAGGAAAAAATTCATGAAAATTTTTCTAATTCGTTTAGGAAAAAAACAACAGACAAAATTTTAGATCTAATGTTTGTTGACGCGCATACAAAAAACCAATCAATTTCAAAAAGCAATAAGTGCGGTATTCATTACGTAAGGCATGTCAACAAAATCCAATATCGCCGCGTATCCATGGAAACGAAACTTTTTTTCAAATTTAATTGCGGATTTTAAGACTCCTTACTATGCTTGTTATATGAGTGAAATTTGGTAAAATTCGGTCCAGTAATAAGCGAGATAGCCTTCAGGTATAGCCCCGCCCCCTTAATTAAAGAGAAATCTCTATAAGTATCGCCTTTAATCGGATACTCTATGCGTCATTTCTTTCTTCTGACAAAAGAAAAACCCCCCAAAATTAATTAGTCATTCATTATTTAGAGACATTATTCATGACTTGTTCAATGTTCAGAACTTTTTAAAGAATATTTTAATATTGTATAGGTTCATTAACGTCTCTTGTAACACTGTAAGTTTATCAAAGAGGTGAGACTCTCGAATGTCCGCCTATGACAGGATCCTAGCCAAATGGGGAAAATCGTGAAAAGTGCCTTTCGCAGGGACACAAACGTTGGGTCAAGCTGATCCTAAAACCGCCGAACCCGCAATGGTCAATTGTGAGGGATATGCGGGATTTAAAGCACCCAGGAGTAAGGATTTGTCAATCAAAATTCAATCAACATATTAAAGCAAATACAATGTAGTTACTGCTACATTATGTCCTGAAATTTACCCACAGTTAGACCACTAATGTAAGCCAATTCATGCATTTTGTTTCCTTGAACAAGATGTCCATAAAATAGCCATCTATTCAAATCTCTTCTGAGACGACAGACAACCTTCTTTGTAAAATGTGGGAAAGTACACCTACTAATGAACGTTAAGCTTATTGCCCCACGTTATCGTCGTCATCGTTGGTATTAAGTGAGTTTACCAGGAAACGAAATGTTTCTCCAATTCCTCAATATTGTATAGAAAGGTGTAATTGTTACCATACTTCTACTAAAACTAAAAACAGAATGGAACTTATATGCCATTGTCGCCAACCCCCCACCCCAACCAACCTAAAACGTTCAATTAAAAACACAGTTGCGTAATTTTAAAAAAGGCTGTCGTAAGAAATCTGTAAAATAATATAATAATTTTAAAAAATGTAGATCTAGACAATATTATTATAATAATTACGAAGACTTTTTTTTATTCCATCCTCCTCCTCCTCCCCCCTCCAACCCCGATGAAATTTGGACTACTAGCAGGCACTTTGGATCAAATAATGTACAATTCGGTTGAGGTAAGTTTGACATGATGTACAACCCTTCAGACCGATTCAAGTATGTGATTTTGTAATTGCTGGGGACAATTTTGAGCGTTACTTAATAAGTTATAATCTTCAGTGACTACTTTCTCCACATCAGGCGCAATTAACAACAATTTTAAACCAGTTTGTGTCTAAACCAGTTTGTGTCAATGTGCTTTTTGCCGAGAAAGTGCAAGGTATGTTAAATTAAATGTTTGAAAATTGGTCTCTGCTTGGTTTTACTTTAGGAAACAGTAAAGTAGACAACGTATTTGATCTAGGTACACATTTATTCATGTAATAGCGAATTTTCAATGCTAATATGCTTCTGTGAGTTTTTGGTTTTCAAAATCACTTTAAGGGGGAATGTGTCAATTCTGTCTCTGCAGTTACGGCAAAGCTTGTCAATGTAGTGGAGGGGGGATTCCACCGGCTAAAATTGCCACGCACACAAAAAAGAACAGATAATTGACTAAAATACAATAATAGTATCTTGAATAATTATTTGCAAACAAGGCAGGTCATTGAATACCTGGCACTTGCAATAAAGCAGACTGGCGTATCCTCAGTCTTCTACGTGGTTTTAGAGGCACTTGCCAGGCTCAGTCCTCTGGTCTGGTTTTCTTCTTACAAGTGAGAACATTGTTGATCTATAAGATCTCCTTTGTCCGTCTCATGACTCAGTTCCAACACTTTTAAAGCCCTAGAGTAGGGCATACACCCTGTGATTTTTCAACTCCTAGTGCACCTTCAAACGTCCCAACTTAAATTTAACAACCCATATTGCCATTTTCTGTATCAGAGACAAGCTGGGCATTAATTTTTGGCCTTGACACTTAATTAAACGAATGGAGATAATTCTGACTGAAAATTTGACTGTGCAATTGATTATTCCAATTGTGTTGCTTGTCTTAGATTATCACTTAAAGGTTGTTGTTGATCAATACCACTGAATAACTCGTTGCTAGAGATGTTTTTAGGATGTTTAGGAAGGTCTGTTGTGTTGCTCAAGGGTTGAAAGTGTGGGTTTGTTTTTTTATTACAGAAAAACATCTCTAATATTGCCGTGAAGGTAAAGTTCATGTCATTGAAATGCTACAAATAATTTAACAGTGGGATTTATGTCTTTTTACTTACAACCCCCCCCCCCAATAAAACAAAACAACAACAACACATTCTCTTTGTTGCTCAAAGACGGTTCGTGGCGTCGGTAGCCAAGTGGTTCGACTACCGGACTTGTAACCGTGAAGTAGAGCTTAAACTCAGTCCGATGTTGTGTCATTGAGAAAAGGCAGTCTATACAAATTTTCTATTTGGCTCAGTCCTTTCAGAAGTCCCACCCCTTAAATAACCTGATAGTATTGACAGGGGCGTTAAACCTAGGCCAATTGCATTTTCAAATAATGTTCCTGTAGCTGATCAAAAGGCGAGTTTTTGCTGCAGAAGAGGCATTTCTTTTGATGTTGAAGATGTGTTCCTTTTTTGCTTAAAGTATACACTTGCCAGTGTTGGACACGTTCTTTTAGCTTTCCAATTGACAGCCTTCCCTGTCCTCATTTCCTTTCCTTCTTTCAGTCCCTCCAGCTCAATCACGAGTAAAGTGCTCAGCATTCGTGAAGCTTACATATTGGTTTCTACCTTTCGAGTTGATATCACGCTCAATTATTGCGGGTAAATGGAATAGATGCAGCCTTTATGTAGGAAGATCAATGAATCAATGAATCAAACAATCAATTAAACAAACAAGCAAACAAACAAACAAACCAACAAACAAAAAAACCCAGCACGGTATTGAAATGGCAGTAAGAAACAAACACGTTAGAATAAGTTAATGTTATAGAATCTAGGCCTATCCCCCCCCCCCCCACCCCAAGCTCTCTTTTCGGTGTAGGCTACAAAAAACAAACAAAGGCCTCTATTCTTTTTGGACGCTGACAACATTAAATTTCATAAATTGGATGGTGGGACTTCTCGCAGATGTGAAAGGAAAACGTTTGCGGATTTCTCTCAAAGTTCAAATGATGAGTAAACAGCGATATTCGTGCAAAAATGAAACCTTGGTGTTTTACGCCCTCATAGACACAATTTAGATCATTTAGAAAGCGGGCTTCTGACCCTGCTAACGAGGGCCAACCTGGGTTGAGAGAGATACACAAATTTTAATTTCTCCCCACTCGGGAATCGAAAAATCTGGTCTTCTGCATGCGACAGCAAAGCACCCAACTACTACATCATAGAGGTTGGTATAGATGCCAAAAGAAAGACGGTGAGGTATAGTTAATTTGCTTGATTTATTCTGGATGAAATCGTCGTGCCTATGACCGTTGTGGGTAAAACGACGTCACACACAACCTAACAGTCTGCTTTTTTGGTGCAATTTTCAGGACTGAATAGGCCTTGCTCAACTTCCATGTTTTAAGGTATCCATGGCGCGTTCTTTGTTTGAATTAGACAAGCATTTGTCTATCTTTGAACTAACATTAACATTGCTATCCCAGGCATGACGGTATGGTGGTCTAAATGCTATAATTGTTATTCATACTGAGAATATAATATGTTTGTATCATTTTAGTTCTTGTAGTTTCGGTAGTCTAGAAGTTAGGCTACAGGACTTTTCAAAGCTGAGCTCGGTCCGGTGTTCTGTCCTAAGGAAAAGCCCTTAACAGGATTTTTTCCATTAGTCTCGGTCCTATTGGAGATGGATGTAAATTTCGAGGGTCCCGCCTCCTAAATAACCCTGTATTGCAAGGAATGTTATGCCTTTATAATTTGGCACATTTTATATTTCTTTCTTCCGTTACCAAGGGCAGATCGACATCAGGCTTCATCCGCGAGATTCAAAAAGCTATTGTTTCGCACCCCATATTGTGTTCTCATAACTATCTTCAGGCGTGGCTGGTCGGGCCAGCAAGACAGTTGTTAGTACCTGCAACATTGAGAGAAGGTCAAGTTTTTACCAGGGTCATTCTCGGTGCTTTTGGGACACATTTAATTTTTCTGCATGTTTACCGCGGAATTTTGGAGAGATGCTTTCTCGAACTTTTTACAATGTCAATCTCCAGGTCAAGACAGTCAAGGCTTTTGCCTCCCAGGACGAGAACCGACACAAAAGACCCTAACGTTTCTTGTAAAGATGTATCAATTGTATATTGCATGATATATATATATATATATATATATATATATATATATATATATATATATATATATATATATATATATATATACATGTATATATACACACGACGGGGGGTTCAAGAAGTCTTTGGTCTAAGTATGAAGGAATAAAGATACAGCTTTGGAACTTGGCACACGTACTTTTATTTCTCTATATAGTTACCATGCAGAGTAACACATTTCTGCCACCTCTCTTTGACCTTCAAAAGTCCTTGAGAGAAAAATGACTCAGAATGGGCCCCTAACCAGCCTTCAACAGCTACGATGGCGTCCTTGTTGTCATGGAAATTACGTCCTTTGAGGGATTTTTTAAAGATTGGGAAACAGAAAAAAAGTTTGAGGGGGGCCTAGGTCTGGTGAATAAGCTGGGTGTGGTAGGATTTCAAAGCTGAACTGTTCTGCTGTCCGGACTGCTTGTTGTGCCCTGTGCGCAGGGGCGTTGTCATGCAGTAGGAGGACCCTCTTTCAGAGTTTTCCAAGCCTTTCTCTTACCAATTCAGACTGTAATTTATCAGTAAACCCAAGAAGTAGTCTCCTGTGACTGTTTTTTCATTTTCCAGGTAGTCAGTCATGATGATACCTACACAATCCCAGAAACATGATAGCATGACATTTCCACTTGACGGTGTTACCTTTGCCTTCTTTGAGGAGTGTGAAGAAGGGGTTTTCTATTGCATGGATGGCATTTTTTAAATTCTGGATCAAAATGATAAATCCATGTTTTATCCATGGTCACTATGTTTTTAAATAAATTTGTGAAATTGGACTCTATTCGAATGAGAGTTTTGCAGGACTCAGCCCTCTGCTTCTTTTGCTCACTTGTCAAAAAGGTGGGGTACCCACCGCACAGACACCTTATTCATGTTAAGATGATCGTGGGGAATCGTTTCAATTGACCCTACACTGATTCTCGTTTCATTTGAGAGCTGTTTAACTGTTATACGTTGGTCTTGTAAAACCAGTTTCTTCACTATGGATACATTTTCTTCAGTTACCACTAAGGATGAATGCCCTTCACGATCTTCATCCATCACCAACATGCATCCAGATTTTAATTTTCTTTCCCAGTATGTCACAATATTATAACTAGGACATTTGAAATTCGTTAACCTACGGCATGTAAAAATAAGCTTTCTATATAGGCCAACACTTTAAAGGGACCTAAACCGCTTAAAAAGAAGATAACAATCCTGTCCAGGATTATGTTTTGCTCATATTTATTTTCTTATCACTTAAACGCGTGCTTAATTTTTAAACAAAATTATCGATTGGCTTAATTCGGTTTGATTTTTGTGCAACTTGCCAGATGACAAGAAAAAAGTTAGTCCAAAAGAAAGTCCATAAAATCGTTATGAATATAAGCACAGACATCAAAGTTTCCAGAGACGTGAAACATCCACCTGGGTTAGTTATGTAATAATAACAATAAAATATAAATGCCGCAAACAGAGTTATTAGATATCTTCGAGATAGCCCCAATTTCATGTAAAGCACATTCTGACACGCTAGGTGAAATTGACAATCAGGTATTGACACTGATCCGGAAGAATCTCTCTTGTGTCCTCTGTGATGGTTTCTCTCAATTCTTGGATACTTTCCAAGGATTTCCCACACACTGCGTTCTATCTAACAGATCAAATTGTATTGAAAGTCCACAGGACTGAGGTCCAGACCGTTTAGGGTCCAGTTGTGCTCAGTCTGACTGACTGTCCTGAAACCAAAATGGTTGCTGATCTATCGCAGAACAGCTCTGGCGTCATGAGGATAAGCCCCATCTTGCTGGTTCTTTCTCCCTTCATCATCAACAATTTAATAGTCCAAAGCTTCTCCAGAACTTTAATAAGATGATGAAGGATCGGTCACAGTTCACCGAATCACGCACCCCGCCTCCCTACTAACCTTTTCAAGAGTGCGTTGTTTTTACAGGCTGCTACCGTGTGTTACCCGGGGCTTTAGAATTCGAGTTCTTATCGTCTGTGGACCCAAACCGTTCAATATTTGCAGTCCATTTGAAAATAGACTTTTTGCTTATTATGTTTGTTTCAGATATCTATCCCGTATGCCCGATCGAGCAAATAATGCACAGGTTTGCACAGAGGTGAACTGCTTTGTCATCTTTCCGTTGTGCCTCAGCAATGAACCTTTTATAAAATATAGTCCGGGTGGATGTTCTAGCTATCGGCGGTCAATTTTGATGTCAATTGAGTAATACAAAAGAAAGTTATTAACATATATTTGAACGAACTTTTTTTGATCATCTGACAATATTATGGCATTCTGTGATAGCTGACTTCTCGACCCATTTCCATGTACCAGCATGAAGTTCTGTGGTCACGTTAAGAATGCCCTCTAGGAGGTTGTGCGTGAGCACATACACGTTTTCCGTTAGGCAAAAGTTGTTGTGTGGGCTGTCTTGAAAGTAAACGTGTAGGCCCTAAGTGATAAGATAAATACTTATTATGTCTAACCTGTGTGTGTGGGGAGGGGGGGAGGAGAGTGTATGTTGTGTGTGTATGTGAGTGTGTGTGTATGTGTGTGTATATGTGTGTGTGTATGTGTGTGTGTGTGTGTGTGTGTGTGAGAGAGAGAGAGAGAGAGAGAGAACAGGCTACAAGGGGCTCTCCCAGATTCATCTCGTCATGGGAGTGGTCCTCGTTATTCGTCCATTTTGCCAGATAGGCCGAGGCACCGTGTGTATCTCTGCCTTAGGAGTGTGTGGGCGCTTAGCAGTTCTTTTCGATACTGTGATATTTAAAATGTAGCGCGTTTTTCTTTTAATATTAGGTTCAGTCTACTTTAGCATATTTTAGCATATTGACCATAATTATTTTGTCCCCATTTACAAGCAAAGCTACTGCTACTCTCGTGCAAATCATTGTGAACTCGTTGAAGTCCAATTTTAAAATCCCAAAGTTGAAACATCTGCACAAACTCCAGACAAAAATGAGCGTTTCATCGAAACCAGGTCGGCCCAGAGGATTAAATCAGGTTTGTGTCGCATTAGATGACCTGGCTAAGCTGATTTGTTTAGAAGATATTAACGTTCCTTACCTTGAACTGTAACAGAAACATTTCTCGGGAGCCATTTAAACTGAATAGTAATTGTATGTTTCAGTATAATAATACAAGTTGTATAATAACGTCATGCCGCGCACTTTTTAAGTCAACTCTTTACAAATGGTACGGAGCTTTCAGGCGGTTTTTTTGGCGGGGGGGGGGGGGGGACTCTCGTTGTCTAAGGTTTACGGCGTTAGCCTCTTATTCAATAGGTCCTAAGTTCGAAATCTGACAGCAACGGACAATTTTCTTCTCTAAAATGTTACCCTTTCCTTTCCTTTCCTATTCTAACCATGTTCTGTCGTCTGCTTTTTTTGTCTCCATTTTCTGTCCCCTCCCTCTCCCTTTTGCCCCCTTCCTCTGAGCCCCTGGTTCTTTCTGCAGCCTTACTCCTGCTACTCCTTGGCTCCATAATTCTTACTGCTGTCTTTCAGTCACATCCCTGATTTTAATCTTAAGGTAGGTAAGATCTAACACCTGGCCTTCTCGGATAAGGCAAAAACAGCCCCAAGGTCACATGTGCAAGTTAAGCACGTTAAAGTTTCCTTGGGGATCCAAAGATCGATGAGAATAGGCTTCGGCCGCCACCCGGGCAAAATTCGAAATTCCTACCAACCTGTCAACGTTTGATGTGTCCTGCTCGCTCTTTAATACCTTATGCAGTTGTGAGGCCGTAGAACAACTAACAAAAAAGAGCTTTCGATCTGTCTGCTCCCAGACAAGTCCAACAATTAAAAAAAACCCCCAGCAAGAAACAAAACAAAACAAAACAAAACAAAACAAAACAAAACAAAACAAATAAAAAACTTCCAGTTTCTTTTGTTCTGCACAAAATTCAGGGAAAGAAGGGGGCTTGGACAATTTCTAAGCTGCCATAGCAAGATATTCTCATTTCAGCCTCGACAACAATAGTAAATCGGTTTTCATCGTATATGAATTGACCTGGATTTTGAAGAAAAAAAAATGAATACAAAAACAAAACAAGAGCAACAATAACAACAACAAAAATACACTTTACAATTTTTATGCCAAAAGACATTAATTAAATTGTCTTTAATTTCAACGAACTATCTGCATCACGAACACATCCGTCATCTCTGGAACAATGGAATTCTCAAAGAAAGATTTGAGAATGCCATCAACGGTTATGATATAATACTCTTCGACAACAACAGTGACAACATTCGACACGGGATGGAAATCTTGAAAAAACTCTTTGAGGTTTGTGAGCCGAAACTCTCCACAGTTGCAGAATAATCTAATTATGATTGTTGAGTAAATATAAAACGCTATCTCACGACTTTCTTGTTTGTGTACCAGGTGATGATACTCATGGCCCTTGCAAGATTACCGCTACCGGCCAGACTGCAATATGTAGTGTGCCGTCGAATAGAAAAACGGGTAGGGGGTAGGGGTGGTGTCTTACAAATAAAGGACAAACTTAAACCCTTCTATTAATGACAATGACAATGACAATGACAATAACAATCTTCATTCATCTGTCACGGAGAAATTTATCTTAGTCTTTTGCAATGGCAATGGATGTTACAAAGGTCAGGTGTACTCATGCATGCACACACCAAGACAGGACATTATACTTATGTATTACGTGCAGCAACACCATCACTCTGCATCGCTCTCTCGATCTCTCGATCTCTCGATCTCTCGATCTCTCTCTCTCTCTCTCTCTCTCTCTCTCTCTCTCTCTCTCTCTCTCTCTCTCTCTCTCTCTCTCCCCTCTCTCTCTTCCATGTAGCATTGTGTGTTCAGTAACCTTTCTGCAGTAAGTATGAATGAATACCTATTCTGTTTGTTCTTGCTTTCTTGGAAATGAGTCATTTACTTTGGGTTGATAATTGAAATTCCGATGTCACTAAAAATTTTTTCGCACACTTTCTAAAGCACGCTGTTTAATACTTACTTCTGTGATGGTTTTAATATAACGCACATTATACTATAAAACTGGTAACAAAACACATCCCTTGGGACCGCCAGTGTTACAACGATGGCGTCACATTTTCTGTTGCAGCGTAACGTTGTGGTCTGCCTGCAAAAGTTCTAAAACTCACGGTGCGACATAATAACTGACTTTGAGACTCAAGAGTTTTTAAATGACAAAATGCGGTTAAATTGTAATTGTCTAAATGCTGAGGAAAAACATGAACAAAAAGTACCCTCGTAGGTGTTTTAAGGTGCTTCAGTATTGAATCAGGAAAACATAAGTAGGCCACAGCGTCTTCCACGCTCTTCTTTTTGTTTGTTTGACAAATTACAGTGGATCTATATTTCTATGAACACAACATTGGACAGACCTATTTAAGAGAATCAATTTTTTTGAGGCACTCAAAAGCAATAGACATTAGAGCAACTGGTCTTTAATCGTTTAATTAATATATTTTAGGCTTTAAAATATTGATCACAAAAAAATCTTTTAAAATGTCGGTAATACAAAATTTAGGTTGTCCTCACTGGGGTATAATCCTCAGCAAGACATAAACATCAAAAGCAGGACACTTCTCAGTGGTGATTACATATTTAGATTCTATGTGTGTGCATATTTATGGTGCATCGAGGTAAAATCAGGTTCTCATCAAAATAAGGAACGCGTATGAAACAGCATTTTCCCACCCACTGGGCTTTTTTCCCACTTGATTTTGGCTCAACGCTTTTTGTGTCAATTTAAAACATATCTATCTATCTATCTATCTATCTATCTATCTATCTATCTATCTATCTATCTATCTATCTATCTATCTATCTATCTATCTATCTATCTATCTATCTATCTATCTATCTATCTATCTATCTATCTATCTATCTATCTATCTATCTATCTATCTATCTATACATATATATATATATATATATATATATATATATATATATATGTATATATATAAATTAGGTTTGGATATTAGTGGAAACATTGACCAACAGCTCGCAAATTTTATATTTGCAGTTTCTAGAGGCACTCAAGCTTTGTAAGTAACCGAACTTTTGACGGCTATTTTCTCGCATATTTTATCTTTAACACCAGAGGACCTTTACCTCCATCACTCGCAAATACCTCGACTGCTACACAAGATATATGAATATTTTCTTGACCAAAACCAAGACAACCGAACAAGCCTGAAGATATCAAGAAGTCCATCTGCCCAAACAATAACGAGTGCCTGCTTCCACCGTGTCGTGACACATATGGGTTTGTGTCGAATGTATATGTTATAGAAGAGTATCTGTATTTTGTGTTCTAATGTAGTTTGTTCTACCTTTTTAAAAGTCAACTTGGTTTATAATGCTTTTTTTGGTTCGTAAAGGACACGATAACGGTTCCTAGCTAAAAGAACAATTCATCACACATCGCTGTCTTTCTGTTAAAAGTCCAAGACAGCCAGGTCTGGGTCTTACAGACAGGGTCGGGTCAATTATTCTTATCTATAAATAAAAGTGTCATTGAAAGGTGTTCATTTATTTTTTTTATAGAGATATCTTATGCAAATAAATATAACCCCTAGTGAAGATGTTCACATCAATAACTTCATGTTCACCTATAGCAATACTCATCAATCATTATTCAGACTGCAGGAAGCGTTCTAGGTGTAAATATATTAATTTTAATCAGTTCATTCTATCCAAGTAGAGAAACAATAATCAAACAACTCTTGAAAGGAAGCTTTTACAGTTTTTATTCCAGTTTTTTGAGAATTTTTTCGCCTGCGGTGTTCATTGTGCTTTGAGTAGTGAGTTCGTCTCAGTCGTCATGACACAACGTATGACACTGTCTTCCATTGTACGCTCAGACTCATTACGGAATCACGTTGTGTGGAGCAGCACAAAAGACTGAGCACTCTCTTCTTAATATTCAAGAACAGGCTCTTACTCTAAGTGGTTAAGCTTTCAGTTTACAACTGCAAATTTTGAATAAGTCGTCCCTGAATTTTGTGTTGAAAATCGTGTAAACGAAAAAATTGGAAGCTGCATTCACAGCAGTAGTAAGATTCACAATGTTGATAGCGAGTAAAAACTCATTTTGATGCTTTTGCCCAAAATTAAATCCTGGTGCAAGATTTTTCATGTACACAGCGACTAAGAGCGGAGTGTTGCAAATGATGAAAAGACATGACACACCGCTTACTACCTTAATAGTTCTCTTGTATTTTGTGGAAGGTCCCGTGATTTTTTCTTTTCTCCTAACTTTACTTTTATCATTTAGTACACCTCGTGACTCCCTGATGTCTTTGTAACTTTGAGAAACGTCGGCAGGTAAAGGGTGTTTATTTTCGTGTCCGGCACTCTCTTCATCATTGACTTGAAAAGGTGATGGTACCCCAACGTCTTGTACCGCTGTAGACGATACTGTAAACTCTCGTGCAGTAGACATGTTGCTGGAATCATTCTGGAATTTCGTAGAACGATTGAGGCCAGAGGTCAAGATGGCAGTGTTAACGACAACAGTGATCTGGCAAGCAGTTTGCAGAAACAGAGTGTTGAAAATGTTATGAGCTGTTTCCACTTTCAGCCTGTAACTCGTGAGCGCAACAGTCAAAACGGTTGTGTTCGCAAAGGGATCTTGTTTCCAGACCAAGAACTGTGAGGCGAAAACAGGGATATACGTGGCCACACCCAAACTCCAGACGAGGAACAAAAGCATCTTTACACGTCTTGGGGTGAGTAAAGAGTTGACCTTGAGAGGCAGCACCACGCAGAGACATCGCTCTAGGGAGACCAGGACGGTGGTGCAGCTGGAGATGTCGTAGAACATGGACCGAGGCCAGGTGAAAAAGTACACCTGTGGAGAGAAACATTTGGGTTCATGTTGAGGAGGAAGTTACGAGTTCTGTTGTCATATATTCGTTTTTCAACTATTGGGTTTAATTTTCATAACATAAAGCTAATTTTCATTCTTCTTTTAAAAATGTCTCAAGTCATTTTATTTTGCGCATTTTGTAATTTTTTCATGCCACCTGAAGAATTTGTTTTGCTGGGAGCTAAAGGCCGTGATGATTATCTTTTAAGATAACGTTTCAGATCAATCTAAGATCTTTTAGACATGGTAAAAAGTGAGCGGGGGGGGGGGGGGGGGTGTCATTGAGAATCTAAAATCTCATATAATTTAAATATGAGAAAATATTTACCTGGATTGACCTAAGATCGACTCCGTGGGAG